GTTTTTCGTTAAACCCATTTATTTTTATTGTGATACCTTTCTCACTAACACTGATGATATAATCAAATCCAGCTGCTATAGCAGGATATAATTCTTCAATCAATAGCAGTTTTAATACATTGCAGTACATTTCCATGAGAGCTGCACTGAAATGTCATTATAATATGAAAGTTTTTTTAATAACATAAATGATTATCATAATAAAAATCATAATATTGATAATAACAAATTATTTGATAATTATAAGATATTAGTATATAGAATGACAGCACAATGTAATATTACATTTTACATGCTACTTACTTTTCTGGTGATTGAAGTCCCAGAGGAGTAACAAAATGAAAATTCATATAACATTCTGGCAAACGAAACTTGGGATCCGGCCGATACCAAATCTCTGATATTGCATCAGAGTATAATTTTACAGGATATTTCGGAACTTCCGCTGGCAACGGTATTAAAGAAAAGTCGCTGGTAAGGAATGTATTCTCTAATGGTAAATGAAAATCTGACAATGGTTCGATAGATTTCCAGCGTTCGATCCATTCCTTTGGTATCTCGATTTCCGTATACTTGGTTTTGAACCACGGCTCGACTTTATTTAATTCGAGACAGTCAAAATCTTCGTTGAAAATCATGATATTCGCAGTCTCTGGCACCAAATAATCCAAACATTTTTGTATAGCTTCTGGATTATACTCAAAATAAAGCTCGTTTCCAGTTATATAATCGCGCGGCGGGTAGAAGTGCATACTCTCACACAAGTCTTCAACGTATTCAGCTGGGTCCTCCTCATCGGCAAATCTAAAAAGATCTCCAAGTATAAGTGGCGTCTCATACATATTTAACATTGTTCTCTTTCAATCACATCTGTTTCACACATCTATTTATTTCTACAATTGGTTTACCTAAAATTATTTTCTCCAATCTGATAAATTTCATCGTAAATTCTTTTTTGCGGACCCTCCTTCTTCAGTAAATTGATAAAGGAAAATATCGCATCTAGAACTTCCTCCAGATGTTGTTGTCCCTCATAGGAGAGTACTACAGTAAGCTTTAATAAGGCATACATGGAGCTGTGTTCGAAACCGCTTTCACTGTTACCACTGAATATATCGAGACTCCACATTTTTTTGCGTAAATAACTAATTAAGGAACCTTTTCCTTCATGTCCAATAATCCATGAAACATATTGGTGTGGTTTACTTTTGTACAAATGAAGTAGCGAAGGCATTGTCCATGTTACTTCTAGCTGCAAAAAACAATTTTTACAATTTAATATATTTATTCAGTATAGAGATTTTTTTGAATCTATTCAAGTCACGTACTTGGCTAACATCTTTAAAAGGTTTAACTTTATACATTTTTCGGAAAGCGGGAGTATCAAAAGAAACACCGTCTTTAAATGCGGTAAAATCATCAGGAGGCAGCCCATTACTTGGTACATCAGCAAAACACGTTGTGACACATTTTTCCAATGTATCCAGCGGTAGTCTCGCCTAGAAAAAAACGTATTATGTTATTACGTATTATATAATTAACTATCTGGCTCGTAGCCCTTTTTTTAATTATTGATTTATTCTGATTGAGCCATTTTAATAATTTATAATTAACTATATTTGATAAGTAATTAACAGTTCTCGTCAGTTTTAACAATGCTACCTGTATAGCTAGTTTCATTCTGTGAGCGCTGTAATGACGCTTTCTGAATTTGTGTAGTTCTTCGTATAATTTGTCGTCCTGCACATTATCGCGCAGTGTTATTAAATTGCCCCAAATAAACTTGTTGGCTGGATGATCAGTTCGCGCAAAAGAAGAAAACAATTGTTCCTTTCTGTTCTCATCATAAGGTAAGGCCAACTGAAACTCTATATGAGCATGGCATATCAAGACTGCAAGTGATAGCAACAGTATTACGATTATGATTTATATACCACTTTCTACGGCCTCTCGCTCCCGCGTGATGGCATCTTTTTTCATCAAGGGTTTGATAAAAAATTGAGCAAAACGATCGAGAGCTGACAACAAGTGTTTCTCCTGGATATCGAAGTAAAATGTTGTATGCTCACAATCCGTTGAGGCATTGGTAAAGCCACCACGCTTACTGATAAATGCATCAAAATCGTTTTCCTGCAAGATGATACTTACACATTTAGATATAATAATAAATGAATTTTATAGCAAATTCACACATATATCATGTTTTAGTACTTGAGGATATTTTTCAGATCCCATGAAAACCATATGCTCAAGAAAATGTGCCATGCCTTGAACTTCTGATGGATCGCTGAAACTGCCTACTCCCACACATAGACCACATGCAGCCTGTTTAAAAAATATATATGCACATCAGTTTGTATACACATTGTATACAGAATAGAGAATTAAACACAATCAATGGAATAACAGGTAAAAAATTTTTAATTGAGTTATATTTCTAAATGAATCTGTATGACTGTATATACTCTCTTGCAGATAGTAGATAAAGGTTGCTTTCCTTTTAGGCAACATAGTTAACACAAGTATCGTTCTATCTTTGTCATTCATTGAACGTCAAAAAGCAGGATTGGCAAACGTTACTTTGTCATTACTTTTTATAATAAACAATTTGATGACGATATTTCAATTTTTTATGACGGTAACGCTAACTAACTAAACGTTAACTAATTAAACGCTAAGGTTGTACTAAGGTTAGAAAAGTCACTTTGAAAAGTAACTTGTCACTATTACGCGTTACATTGAAAAAGTTATAAGTATAACGAGTAACGCGTAACGTTACTCATTACTAAAAAGTAACGTTACAAATTAGGAGTTATTTTTTTCAGTAACGAATGACTTTTTCAATCCATTACAAGTAACGATTGACTTTTCTAACTCTGATGTTACCATCATAAAAAATTCACAATGTCATTATCAAATCGTTATTATAACAAGGTAACGATCAACAAAGTAACGGCGTTAGAAGTATAACGCATTACTTGCCAACCCTGTCAAAAAGGATAAAACGATGTTTGCGTCGAGTGAGTTCTCTAAAAGGAAAACAGCTAAAATGTTTCAAACGAAAATTCTTGATAAAACTGATAAAATTAAGCCTTGAGGAAATAGATATCTTTTATAATTTTATAGGTTTTTCGATATTACAACAAATTTTTAATGATTATGTAATAAATTGGCGCAAAAAATACATCCTAAAATGTCTTATTCATACCTTTTTTTCGTCTCTCTTAACTCGTTTAACTGAAGAACCATCTTCTTCGTCATATTCATCGCTTGTATCACCTTCATCTTCGTTTTCACCGTTTCCTCCATCCTCTTCGCTACTTTCCTCATCCTCAGTTTCATCTTCGGTAGATTCTGTATTCATATTCAAAATAACGCAATTAATGCTTTATAAATGCAGATAATTATATATATATACACACCTTTTTTCATTATCATGACATACCCTGATAGAAAAATGGTAGCAATTTGCTCGTAAATTGACAACAAACTCTCGATCAGATTTTGACTACAAAACCATAGCCATTTGTATCTACATTTGACTTGGATTTGTTAACAAAACTTGCCGACATGTTTTGACAGCAGATTGCTGACAAAAACCAAGCAGTCTGCTGACAATGCTGACATAACTTAACAGCAGATTGCAAACAGAAACCGAGCAGAGCCTGTTGATATAACCTGATGGCAGATTGGCAGCAGAAACCGAACAAAATCTGTCATTTTCATTTAAATCAACCTGATTTCTTATAAGAAATTTTGCATTCATATATATACACGATTATATATAATTTATATACATAATTATATATTTATATATACTGGTGTGAAAATTGGAAACAATCAATACAGTTTTATTACTAAAATAACAATTAATACAGTTTTATTATTAAAATAATATTGTTTGGCTTTACATTTCAAAATACACATGAGAAAGTTACAAAATAGTTAAAAAAATATTCGGAGATTCAGAAAGCCTCCAAAAGAGCTCGGGAATCTGTAAGAGATTTGCCTATTCGTTTTATATTTGCTAATTCTTATAGAATTCTTGGACGTTAAACCTTCTTATGAGAAGCAAATCTACATGGCAGAGCCATATATGAAAAAGACAGATTCAATTTCTGCTACCAATCTGCTGTCAGGTTATACGGCAGACTCTATTCAGTTTCTGTCACCAATTTGTTGACATAGTCAGCAGGCGCTTTGTCATAATTTTGACAGCAGTTTGTTGACATTGTCTGTGATAATACAAACTCTATTTATAATTTATTACCTTTCTATAATAAAAAGTTGGTAGCAGGCTCTGTTTAAAATCTGTCTCCGCAGGCTTTGCTATCAGGGTAGCTAACATCTTATTTTTAAATTTATATTATCAAATATGTCTTACCTTTATCCTGATCATCCTGATCCTGAGAAGCACAAGGTTTTGAATGTACATCAGATATTAACAAAGCTGTTAAACCATTTGGTAATTTGATGACTCTAAATTAGGAAGACAAAACACACAATAATAATATAAGAAATCAATAAGAAAATTTATCATATAAAAAACCTAACCCTTCCTTATAAAAAGTAACGTTTCTCTAAAAAAAAAATTATTACCATTTAAATAATATTCCTCATCTCTATTTCGATCGAAAAAAATGCGGAAATACCCTGCCTTACCTGTATTCTTTCTTATCGTTCTCTGATTTGACGGGCGTCTCCAGATATTCAACTTGACAACGCTCATCGTCACCGGCCGTACTTTCCACCTCTGGCATTATATTGACGCAGGGAAAATCAGAATGGAAATTAGGTCGGTCGGTAGAATACAATCCAATCGGAAAACCCACAATGGGATTTTGAATCGTTTTTAACTTCCTTTTCTGTAGACTCTGCACAACTTTTCTTAGCAGTCTAACCGATACATGTCTACATACACGTCTGACAATGGTCAGTTGTCGAAAAAAATTAAGAGCACGTGTCATACGCGCTTCTGTACGGTCTGTAACCAGTCTACATTATCGATATTCAGGTTTCTCATCTTTTTCTACGTTTCTAGGGAATTTCGGTACGCTGTCATTTAAGTTGCCTATTCATTTAAAATTGTATTTTGTAATTATTTAAATAAAAATATCATTTATATAATTACAAAACGATAGATTTTACTTTCGCTGTTTCTGTTATCATGTACTGTTAGTAGATTCTGTTATTATGTTAGCAGATTTCTTTTGACATTCTACCGATAAAATGTAAGACACTACTCAAAATTTATTCTCGAATCGTTCGACAAATTGCTAGCATACTGTTATTAATATTTAACTTGCTGAATTATTAATGAAAAATATCCCATAATCGTTGTTTACTCAATAATTAGAGATGCATTAATAAATAAATTCTATGTTGAAAATAATATATATATCTACTATAATATATGTACTATAAATAATTTGTTCATAAGCATGAGTGGAAAAGAATAATAATGTAAATAAAATGGTCGCCATTTATTATAAAAGTAAACATGTTATTTATACAAAAGTGTCAATTATTTTAATAATAAAAGTATTATAATAAACATTAAATATAATTGAAATATAATTATAATATTATGATTTTTCAATATTTTAATATTTTACATTATAATATTATATAACGTTTTAATTACTATATATATTAATAAAAATATTAAAAAATTAATAATTAATATTAATAGTGTAAAATAATGCTTTGTATTTATTGTAAATAAAAAACGTGAATATATTATTATAAGCATCAAATAATTAATAATAAATATTTTAATTGTAATTAAAACAAATAATTATGTTATATCACATCACAATATTATAATTAATTCTAATTATTCTAAAATTAGTAACTTAATATTAATAGTATAAAATATAATGTCGTAATATATCATAAATCACAATAATATGCGAAGATATCGTAAATATTAAAAATATTAATCCTAAATTATGTTCTAAGACATTATATATACTAACTTACATTGTCATTTATAAACAGGAGAAAAAAGAGAAATCAGATAGTTTACATAAAAATAGTTTATATAAAACATATTCTGATTTTCTGTTGTGCTAAAACAATTCTAGTTCTGATTGTTTAGAAATATTATGTGTATCAAAGCAATCTTAGCTCTGCTAGTCTGTTCAAATTTATTATACATATATTAGTTTGGTAAAATATCACAAAAAATGCATATATTAGGTGTACAAAAAAGTTCTGAGCTTTTTTTGTAAAATTCAATCTTTATTCAAAAACAAACGAAAAAATATTAATCAGCGAAATATTCTCCGTTTGCATCAACGAC